GGGCGTTATCATTTGAAAAATTTATGTTAATCAGAAACTTGTGTTCATTTGGAAAAATTTGAAGTTGTTCCTTACAAAAAACATTATGATTTTTTCCCAATAAAATAATTACAGACTAATATATTCTTTGTTTCATATGTCGTACACACACATATTTCAGTGTTTTATAAGTAAATTTCGTTTCCAATAAAAGTATATCTTTTGTAAGAATGGAGTACATGTATATCAGACTTCTTCGAAGATAATTTTCTCAATGTTGTTCCCAGACATATAATATTAAGAATGATATATAAAGCAGGTATCACCTGCTAGAGGATATTTTAACAAATTGGACAGCCAATTGGTAGTGTAGTATCCATGAAGTAAAAAGAATAAGGAAAAACTCGATTTTCCACAGTTTAATAATATTGAAACATCGAAAATAATAAGTGAAAACATTAAATAATAATTACGGTTAAGATCTATAGGAATACATATATAAAAATAAAAAAAACTTCAGAAAAAATACAAAGTTAAAAAACATTGTTGACAGGCACTGAATTCAAGTAAAATTTTCAGATGTTTTCCCATAATTAAACATAATGATACTTTTAAAAAAAATATCATTCTGTATTGCACAAAGTTGAATCGATTAGAAAAATAAAATATAAAAAAAAACATGGACGGATCACACGAATAGTAATCGTGTATAAACAATAGTTTATAGCAAGGGATATGATAGGAGTGTCTGATAGAAAAATACTAGAATTGCACATTTGTAAATTGTAAAGATCACAGATCTCTTAATTTTCAATATACATCTACGACAAGCTGTTGTGTTTCCAATAATCTGTGCCCAGCTACAATACGATTTTTTTTAAAATTAAGCAATTATAACTTTAAAAACACAATGTGAAGCAAGAGTATCGTTTTTTTTTAATAAAACAGTGATATTATAGTCTGATATGGTCAAATGGAAAAAAAAAGCTAATATTTAATAGTTTATATTCTTTTTCCTATGTAAGAACATCGTTTGGCTCCGATTCCACTTGAACAATGCATACACAACTTTCCAGGGCATCCCATGAAATCGGCTATTTTGCCATTTTCGTCTTTTCGAATTGCCAAATCACAAAGGCGACATTTCCCAAGCAATTTACTTTGACCTTGGGAATGTCGTAAGCAGAGATATGCCTCTGAAACTTTGTGTCCAAAAATATGTGTGCCACAAATGACGCATGCGTCTTTATTCAGAGGAAAGTGTTTTGCTTTGAATCCTCGGTAGGCATTGGAACATCCTCGACATAGAACTACTGGCATCGTGACCTTTAACACTGGATCTGCAATCTGCATACAGCGTGCCGACTATCGGTCAGAAAATTGAATTTTAGTTAGATGATACGAGATCCTTTGTTTTAAAACATATGAATTATAGAACATTCAAATATTTTAAAAGATAAAATGATTACTTTAACATCGATTAGACGATCACTTTGGTTACATTCCTATGTTGAACTAAATATATCTTTGTTCAAGGAAGGAAGGATAGGGAGATAACGAACAGTATTCAATATCGAAGTCCATAAAACAATACAGAACAGGAGCAGAGCAGAGCAAACACGGACCTCCGAAACATCAGAGGTGGGATCAGGTGCCATGGAGGAGTGAGCATCCCCTACTGATCGGTCACATCCGCCGTGTGCTCATTGTCATGATCGTGAAATAACGGGAAAACCCGCTGTCAATTCAGTGTATAAATAAAGGACTAACAATTGGTATTAAAAAAGGAAATCATTTCTTAAGCTCTAGATCTATTTCAGTGGTGTATATTGTATATTGTTTTCGTTTTTCTATCAAAAAGTAGCGACTCTAATTTCAGTAACTTTTCCAAATAAGAATTAGAAACCTCTGACTATGAAGTAATAAAACTTTTCCATCAAAATAAGAAAGTTAGAGTGTCTAAATATATTTCTGCGTGCAGCTTCAATTATCATTTTGGATTATACACCACCATCTTTAGACAAACTAGTAAAGTCTACAAGACCTCAGTAAAATAAATAAGAAAAGCTCACTTAAGGATGTACAACACACCCATCCCAAAAAATTCCTGTCGTTTAATTTTCGTTATTTTGGTATATTTAGTACATGACTATATCTACTGCATGTATGCACATTTTGGGCAATATCGTTCGAGTGGTTTTTGGACAGGAAATTCCAAAAGTTACCCCCCTTTAGTTGTTTACAAGGAGAGAAAAATTTTAATCAATGAACTACTCAAACCTTGATTTTCAAAAAAGCCAGGTTAGATATAAATGTCAAATTTCATTGACTTATTCCTTAAACCATTTAACACAAAAACATAGTCATCTTTTTTTATATAAATATCATCAAAACAATTTTTAAAGACCTTAAACTGAAAAACTATGAATTATCCGAGCCTTGAAAATTGTGTATTTTTCAAATTCAAAATTTTTTTGTACAAAAACCTGTCGTTTAATTTTGATAAAAATCTTTCTTTAGGTAGCTGGTAGTAAAAATAATCTTCATAAATTTTTGTATAATTTTTGTTCGACCAGTTTTGATTTAATAGCGGAAAATTACCCCCTCCCCCTTTCTCAATAAATCACGTTCCCGCTCGTCTTTCAGACGGGGGTAGATCACTTTGCTATGTATCTACAATTACACATTTTAAAAAAATCAATTTGGAATATTGCTTTTGCTTCAAAAATATATTAAGTTACAAATTTTAAAGTTTTTATATGTAAATCGTTTTTAAATGTAGATTTTTAGGCAATTTTTGAATACCCCTACCACCCCCACCCCTTCCTTTTTTGCGGAGACCATTAGCGTTTGACGAAACGTCATTTAAAGTGCAAATATACAAGTATTTCGTCATTTGAATCCTGGAGGTAAGCATGAGTTTTTAAATTCATGAATGCAGAATCAATATTGACTACTGTTTTATATGTATCAGGAAAAAATTACTGAAAGAGTTTAGTGTTTTATCCATATGCATATATGCATTCCATATCACATGAAACCTGGATACGAATTCAAGTTATGTTGAACTTGAATATGTTGATTTTTTAATTTTATTTCTTCAATTTCATTTATTAAAAAATGGTGTATGTTCAACTCTCCTGTGATATAAATGGAATAATTGTAGTTTCTTTCATGTCATTATTTCAAACGAGACAGTATGTGGCCGTGGGGATACATCGACATTTGCATAGACGTACACCCCTCATGATATTGTTCGCATTTTTTCAATGTCGTTGCTTCTAAAGTTAAAAAGAAAATTCCGTATTCGTCCACATTAACTTCAAAATTTCAAACATTAAACTCTTCATCTATTTTAATTTATATCAAATCGCACATTGATATTTTTTTTTAAAATCTTCTACATGCTAGATCTATAGGCTACGTTTTGTTTTGATTCGAGGAAATGCTAACCGACACTATTTTCAGTGACAGAAAGTCAAACAATTTGCTGCAATAGGATATTCATAAATGCAGATAATTTCAGTACTAGTGAACAATTCTTTTCAATTCTATACTTACATTGTGTATATGAGGTCTATAGAATTCAATTCTCGGATTTATCAGGTCTTGCTGTAAATGTATCTGATTCTGTGGAAAACCGTGAATAAAGGGAGGAAAATAAACATCTACATTTTCAGAGTTGTTTCTCTTTGATCAGTAAGGGTCTGAGGACAACATCGATTTTACATTGTAAAAAGGTTTTTGTTTGTTTATTGTTGTTTTATTTAATTAAAGAAGAAAAAAACAATGTTTATATCGTAAATGCAGAAATTGTAAGACCATTAAAGCCATATATGGCGTAACTGATCAAAAAAATATATATTTAAAAAATACAAAATTAAGTAAAGAAATATAGTTGATACATTGAAATAAAAGCTTTTCATACAATTCTGAACACGGAGAACACCTAGTTTCATCTAATAATACGATTTTATCTTCTCTGTAATGTGTTATTTAAATCTTTTGTATTTTCTTCCGAGTCGGAGAAAATTCCGAGAATCCAAATTAAATTGTGATATCTTTATATTTCCATTTCTAATTTTTCTCTCTGTGATAACTCTTTGAAAGTTGTCGGAGTTTATTTATTGATAATTCTGCCGGAATGTAAATTAGGCAGGTCGATAGGTCAGGAGCTAAAAAGGCCTAATATGCATGCAAATCTCGTGCGCATATGGCTTTGTGTCTGACGCTAAGGAGGCTAAATATGCATGTAAATTCGTGCGGCTGCCTGTGTTTGACGTCATTGGGCGAGGACTATTGAAATTGGCATGGAAGTCCTCGTGTAATTTAAGTCTATGTCTACATTTTTAATGTCTACGTCTACAATTTTATTTCACTATGAAATGGAAATATAAGGAATCACTGTCAAGTTAGAATAGTATGCCAGGGACACCATGTTTCCCACTATCGTTGATGCCCTGGCATACTATTCTAACTAGACAGTGATTCCTTAAATAACGCAATTGATTTAGATTTTGTAATTTACGGAAAAGTTCCATCTTTATATAAAGTAATGATACTAATAATAAGTTTTTATAAATTTAGTCCAATAATTTTCATTGTACATACGCCATATATAGCTTTAATCGGAATGTTATATAGCCAATTGTAATGAGAATTTCGGCAAAGTAAAATTAAATTTTCAGAATAAAAAAAAAATGCTGCGCGTTGATCAAGAATACAATTTATTGTATATGAAATGAAATGAAATAAACATTAAGGGATGGTATTTTATGTCTCGCTTTTTACGGAGTTTAATCGGGTTAATTAAAAAAAATACCGTACTTATTGATTGAATATGGTACGCATAATCACAGCCAAGCCCCATATCCCATTTTTCTTTTATGATTGATATACATCGGGATCGTTTTACTCGTCATTTTGAAATTTCTAGAATAAGTCAAACCACCTAAGTGCCACTTTTCCTTTTATACACATACAAACCAGTAGAGCTACAGTCTTATCAGAGACTGGTCTGTATGTGTATAAAAGGAAAAGTGGCACTTAGGTGGTTTGACTTTTCAAAAGGCAAAAATAAATAGAATTATGTATCTTTGTATAGTGTAATTGTGCATATTGTGTGCCAAATTATACTTAATTCAAATAAAAATTGAAGGAGTTCTTTTTAAAGGAATTTCACAGAAAATTCTATTTTTAGTTACCATGGCAACACTGTTCATCGAAATCAAAAATTGATGCACTAAATTATGTATCTTGGTTTAGTCTACTTAAGTGCTAAGTTATACTGAAATCAGACCAAAATTGTAGGAAGAGTAGCATTTTGAAGAAAATTTCACAGAAATTTTTTTAATAAACATGGCAACACTGTTCACTGAAATAAAAAAAAACTGATGCACTAAATTATGTATCTTATTATAGCCTACCTGTGTTCCTAGTTAAATTGAAATCAGATTAAAACTGAAGGAGGAGTGGCATTTTGAACAAGAGGCCCAGGGGCCACAGTCCTCACCTGAGCACATCAACTTTGAAAAAGCACGTATCAGATCAGAACTGAAAGTTTACTGAGGTTGGGAGGGGGGGGGCTTGAATTTTACCCCCCCCCCCCCCCAGGGGATCATGATTTGAACGAACTAGATTCTACACAACCATTATGATTTCATATAAATATTACTTATCATGGCTTTGTAGTACTTGAAAAGAAAATTTTAAAAGGTTTCCCTATATATTCCTATGTAAAACTTTTGTCGGCCATTTTGGCCCCACCCTACCCCCTGGGGTCAAGATTTGAACAAACTTGAATTCCTCCACATTAGTTTCATCTTTCCTGGCCCAGTTTTTCTTTCGAAGAAGCTTTTTAAAGATTTTTCCGATATAGTCCTATGTAAAACTTTGATTGGCCATTTTGGCCCCACCCTACCCCGGGGGTCATGATTTGAACAAACTTGAATCTACGCTACCTGTGGATGATTCCACATGAGTTACATCTTTCCTCGCCCAGTGGTTGTTCAGAAGAAGATTTTTAAAGATTTTTCTTATATATTCCTATGTAAAACTTTGATTGGCCATTTTGGTCCCACCCTGCTCCTGGGGGTCATGATTTGAACAAACTTGAATCTACACTACCTGAAGATGCTTCCATATGAATATGACCATTCATGGCTTTGTTATTCTTGAGAAGAAGATTTTTAATGATTTTCTCTATATATTCCTATGTAAAATTTTGGTAGGCCATTGTTGCCCGACCCTATCCCCGGGGGTCATGATTTGTACAAACTTGAATGTACACTACCTGAGGATGACTCCACATGAGTTTCATCTTTCCTGGCCCAGTGGTTCTTGAGAAGAAGATTTTTTTTAAATGCCAAAAATTTTTCACTAATTCATAATTATTTCCTCTTTTAAGAGGGCTTGGCCCTTCATTTGAACAAACTTGAATCCCCTTCACCCAAGGATACTTTTGGCATTTTAGTTGAAATTGGCCCAGTGGTTCTTGAGAAGAAGATAAAAATGTGACAACAACGACGACGGACAAATTTTGATCAGAATAGCTCACTTGAGCCTTCGGCTCAGGTGAGCTAAAACTGTTTACAGACAGGTGGACAGCTAGACGGACGACTGATGCCTTAATATCGCATAATCTCTTATGGTCTCTGACAAGTAGAACTAATTATATCCCTTTGAAATTTTAAGTTTGCTCTAAGTTTATGGTCTTAGGACCTTTCAGCTCAGGTGAGCTAAAAATTCTCTTGAGCTTAACAGCTCATCTGAGCTGAATTTTTGGGAAAAAATCAATAAAGGTTTTCTTTTTTTTAAATTAATTGTCAATATCTCTGTAGGCCAAACACTCTCAAAGGATAGCCTAAGCTTCTTTCTGCAACTGGTAAAGGCTTCATTTACTGCAAAAATCTGAAGGAAAAAATTAATCCATTTCAGTTTATATTTCAAAGTTTGCAGAAAAATTAATCAAAAATATTTAAAATCTTAATTTTCTGAAAATACATGTATTAGAATTTTCAAAAGGTTTTTCCATCCTGTCATATTTCATACTTATAAGAACAATCTTTACAGACCTCTAAACTTGAAATTCGAAAACTATTCCTGTTGAGTCCTTTTCTGTATGACCCACTAAGACTGTCCTTTTCTGGATTCAGCTGTTGGTATAACTGAAGGTTGATGAAATATTCAGCATTTCATGGAGTAGGTCTTGATGATACTAAAGTAAAAACAGAAAAGATGCAATATGTATCAAAAGGAATGTGTAAATTATCATACTGTGCAACATTATATGTTTAACATATGCCCATGGACCACAATGTTCACCTGTGTACATGTGTAACTATGGCCTTTCTGTTCTTCATCAGCAGATATCTTTACAATAATTTCTTTCTCCTAACATAATAATTTATTACCCCATCCTACATTTAGACTTAATGATTTGAACAAACTTGAATCAAAACATGGTCAAACAAAATAATTAGTTTGGGTCGGCTACATTTTAAGTGGTACGTCTTATAGGCAAAAGCTTTTGTGAGGGTAGCAAATACGAAAGGATGAAATATAAAATGCAAGTTTTCAATTTATATTGTCAATTTATTACTAACCTTTGAACTTGAAACTGGTGCATTGATTAAATATCTTGCAAATCTAATACACAATGTGGTATCCTTCCAGCTGACATCAGTTCTAGCCTTTGATCTTTGACCTTGACATTGGAAAACAAAGTATATTTGTATTTCCACTATAAATGATTGTTTGTTTTGAATGTAGATAGACAAGTTGTAGATATGAAATGCTTATAAATGAATAGTCAATACGCCAGTTTCGAGATTGTAACTCTCCTGCAACAAAGGCGCAAAAAGTATCCATTTCAGCATGGAGGTGGGACAGTTTGCTTATGTGTACAAACGTGCATAAATAAATGAACGATGTCTATGGCTTTTAAAATTTATTTAATGTTATAGAAAGATAAAGATGTTAATCAGTGATGCATTTTATGATTTTATCAAGCTCAACTGTGTATATTTATAAATCTACTTTCAATTATAGGGTTCTTAAAAACGAAATAAACGTCGTGGTCTTCATAAAAATAAAGATTTTCTTTATTGTACAAACATTCTCTAAAAAGTTAGTGGGTTTTTTGAAGTTATAATAAGGTAAAAAATCAATGTGTCATTTAGATTCCATGTAATGATCAGATTCATGTTTAAGGTATTTATTAGAGGTCCATATATCTCTTCCCTCGTCTGTAAAGTCTCACATCCACTGAATTTTCTTTTTTGTTCTGAATTTTTTGCTTTAAAAAATGACACCTTTACTTTAATTCGGTTGTTCTTGAGTTCAACAGAGCATCCTTACAATTATATAGCTACGATAAACCTGTATATCGATGATGCGATATATCCAGTAATAAATATCTGTCCCACCTGTTTGTTTACGCGGCAACCAAACTCCCTTCCTCAACGAAAGAGCGCACCTAGGGAGATAATCTCGAAACTTGCGTATTGCATCATGATCTTCTCGAGCCTTTGTCAAGCTCGGAAAAACACTTTGAATGTATTAACATCACCGAGTGTGTGTAAATTAAAAATTAGGAAATGAAAAAAATCACTTAAGCTAATAAAAAAGAGTATATAAAAATACAAATCCAATACCCAATGTGGTGTCTTTTCAACTGACATCAGTTCTGGCCTTTGATCTTTGAGTTGACCTTGGAAAAAGGTTGTCTTGGCGCCAAATAAACTTATTCCAGGTAGACCATGGATTTTCACTTGTTGAAGGATGCGATTGAAATGAAGTGTACCACTTTCTCCTGCACATTCTTAATTACTGCAAAATGGTTCCCATAGCCATAGACTCCAGTCATCGTCTCAAGCCACGGTCCGGGGTCCAATTATAGCTCTCTCCAGTCAGCATGTGTCGATCTGAGATACTATAAATTATAGTTACATTAATAGAAAAGATGAATAAGTGATTAAATTATCTGCAAATAATAAAAAAGAAATAGTCATGTAAATTATCTGCAAATAATAAAAAAAGATAAATTACAAGACATGAAAGAATACCTACCTGTAGATCTATAACCAGTCTTAAATTGTATGTTGTATACGCCATGGATCTGGAGTTTTGTTGATGGTGCAGTACAACCTAAGTCACTGCAACCTAGTACTAAGAGAAGAAAAGTAAATAAATGATCAATTGTTAAAAATATAATGCACAGTATATAGATTAGCAGGACAATATTAAAGCCCACCCCCTCCGTTTTTACACCAAAAAAGTTCTATAATTTGCACTTGAGAATACCTAAATTCTTATGAAAGTATATTGTAAACAACTTGATTCTTAACGGATCATACGAAACATTATTTGTTTATGTTCATAATGTTACGGTTTTTTCCAATGAATAAACACTTTTGGTGGTAACAGATGAATTTATTGATTTATACAAAACGCAGGCTCTGAAATACACACGAACATAAAATAAACATACATGCACACAAAACACACATCAAAG